CTTAATTTTTATGAAAATACCCAAGATGGCTTGAAGAACACAGATGAACTATACATTGTCGAGTGTTTAGTGTCTTCTTGTTTCATCATTCAAAACGTTTTTACATTCTTTTTATTCAGTTACAGTGATAGCTGGATGCTTTTGTCCATATTACAGATTTCCTGGAGCGCCATGAGTTCTGTTACTTCTGCTCTTGCATATGTGGAGTTTCTGTGAGAGGGCGCCATCCGGCTTCCAGTATGAATGACATTACATGTGTTTATAGTGCTCAATAATGGCCAATGCATCCTATTTTGGGAAAAATAGAAAAAAGTAATACTTCTCTCAAAGGAAATTTAAAGTAGACATGATAATCTATGTTTTTCTCCAGTGTACAGAAGTGTACAGGAGTTTTGTGTGTGTGTGTTTTAAAAATCGCATCGTAAATCACAAAAAACAAGCCATCCAAAAACCAAAAACCATGGTTAAAAAAAACAAGGTATGTATTGAACCGTGGGCTAACTTTATTGTTGCATCCCTAATATATATATATATAATGACTAAAACAATCAGGACACCTTAGCAACCACATAGCAATGGCATGGTAACCAACCACAGCAGCCAATCACAGTGATAACACATTCAAATGTTAGAGAATTGCAAATATTAGTTATTTACAATGTTTTTAATGCAGTTTTTTAGTCATATGATTTTACCTCGAGTTTTGTATAGCACGAAGATGCATTTGTACTGATGCCAGACTTAGTGACTGTTCATACAGAACATGTTTTTGCATTCCACTGAACTGCTTTTCCATTGTTTTCCATGTAAACATAAGCTACATGGACGTCTTTAACCGTTGCACTCACATCTTGCATCATTTGCAGTGTCTTTCGCATGATACAGCGTTCTAAAAAGTACGCTGCTCAAGTTAAAAGTTCAACTTTTAAAAAACGCATGCGTTTTTTCCAAATACAAATAGAAAATAGGCAAATGAATTGTAATTTTCATTTGAAAAATATTTAATTCAATGGATTGTCAAAAACATTAGCGTTATCACATGATTATTTAATATATAAAACAATTTGAGGTCGATTTACATAAAATAACTATATTATGGATTATGCTGTTAATTTAGGCCTAAATCCTATCTAAGACTTATATTTAGGCCCAGAAAGAGCATTACCAGGGTAGTTAAGACTACAAATGTAGAGTATTAGGAGAGAGGAAAAGATAAGTGAGTGAAATGAATAAGCTAATGGCATGAAACAGGAAATGGGTTAAAAGTATGAGAACAATGAAGTGGCTGCGCGAGTATGTAGAGGTTTAAAGATGGGAGAAATAGTGCAGTGAGGATGAAATGAAAGCAGAATGATGGAAGTATTACAAGAACGGGAATTTAACATGCATGCATGTGAGGGATGAGGAAGGGGCAGAGAGACGGCCGGAGAGGAAGTGATGTTAGTCTGTTTGGAGGTTGCTGAGTCATTAGTGGGCCGGATGATCACTGATAGAACGAACACCCAGGGGCCAGCGCAGGGGGCGGGACCCCGTCACACGGCATGTGCTCTGAACAACAGCATGAGTGCGCGTGGCGAGAGCATGCGCTCCGCAGGATGTCCCGTGCTGTAAACACCATGTATGTCACGAATTCTGCTGAAAACATCAGCGCATGACTTTGGTTAGGTGCTAGTCTGATGCTGGTTGACCAAGAAAGTCTTGTTGGTTGGTTGAAATAGAACATGATTGCATGATTTTCCAAACCTGTAAATAGAACATTATTGCATGATTTTCCAAACACATTGCAATGACAAGAGGGTATATAAATGATGCCAATATCTTCCAAAGAAAAATGTTTTTTCCTCAAAAAACAAAAAAAACAATTGATTTAGGGTTTCGTTTGATTTTGATTTCATGCCTCAAACCAAAACCAAACTGGTTTTGCAGTGATTAGAGGGTATATCAATTTTTTCTGTCCGTTACACTGCCCTACATCTTACATTTTTAGATACAAAAATACATTTTGTGTGAATGGCTCTCCACATTTGCTCTGAATAATCTTGATTTTCGGTTTGCGCCCATAAAGTTCAAAAATACAAATGGAAAATAACCTGTAATTTTCATTTGTGAATTCTAGAGATGCACCGATTGCAATTTTCTTGGCCGATTCCGATTTCTGATTTTTTGTTAGTGTGATCTGCCGATACCGATTTTTGCCGATTCCTATTTTCTTTCTAAGAACTATAATTGACAGCATATACAAACAAAAATCTACTTTTCTTCAATGCAAAGTTTTATTTTCATAAAAAAACACGAGTAAAAAGACAGTAATAAAATAAGAACAAATAAAAAAAATTGCAAACAACAGCACAAATACATGCAATAGAATAAAGAGAGCTATGAAACTAAGTTTTTCAGGTTAAGTAAGTTTTTATTCAGTTAAGAAATACTACAGAAATTAATCAAATGTAAAATAACACATCCAGTGTTATTTTACATTTGATTAATTTCTGTAGTATTTCTTAACTGAATAAAAACTTACTTAACCTGAAAAACTTAGTTTCATAGCTCTCTTTATTCTATTGCATTTATTTGTGGTTTTAGCGCAGTTAGCCACTCATTTTGGTATTTGTGGCTCACAAGCTATTTGAGACTGAGCGCGGATATAGATATACTAATATAGATCAGTGGTGGTGCCCGTGCGTTTGGTATAAGCGCGAAACCTGCGGGAATGACTAAAATAATGCACAATACAAGCACTATTTAACCGGAGCGAATGAGACGTGTGTGAGAGAGAAGGGGTCGTCGGAGAGAAGAGAGCGAGAATGCGCAGCTGACGTTATTGCCTGTGCCGCTGGTAACAAAACAGATAGGCTCGAAATCTGAAAAGTGAGACTGACCGGCCGATCATGAGGAAAATCGGCCGATTCCGATCCCTGGCCGATCGATCGGTGCATCTCTAGTGAATTCATTTAATGAATTACCACAAAATTGGCTTTACCACATGATTATTTAATATATAAAACCATTTCAGGTTGACTTCCATCAAAAATGAGGATTGTGGTATATAATGTTGTAAATTAAAATTTGCATTTTTGAGCAAACCATTCCTTTAAGCAAGTTAGGAAGCCTTGTGTCCAAACCACCACACCAGCAAAACATCTCAAAGACGTTTGCGATCAGTTTTGCTTGTCTTGTCAAAAAAGAACTTTGCACACCAAAGAAAACAGCTAAATGTGTGATAGGTGTTCCTCTCCTTGTGTAGGTTAATGCTTCCTGTCACCCAATAAGAGAGCAAAGAGCATGTGGTGCCATCTATAGAATGGGCCCCTCATCTTTTTTTTTCTCTCTGAATATGCAAGTGTTGTGGTTTTTCTGATCTATTGCTTTTTTCATGTACTAAACCTTCATTTTGTCATGCTTCAGGGCTTCCAACAGAACTTTAAGAACGCATTTACTTCTCACGCAGAGTTAAACGTTCACAGGCATCCGAGATGGCCACGCACTGGTAAATGAGAATGTGGGGAATGAGAATGGGGAGATTGGTTCCAGTTGTGTCGCAATACATCTGGTGAAGCTCGGCACCCATGTGCTGATTTTTTTTTTTTGAGCTTCAAACGAAAATGTCCCCTGGCTGCAAATGGCGTCTGTGATCTGATTCTGAAGGTGGTTTGCTCCACCCGTCGGTGACTCGTATCAGATGCCTTTGACACTTTCAACTTCCTCAGTCTTCCTCTTTACATCAAAGATGTCCTTACAGATAAGCAGCATGAGCGATATTAGTCACTCTCTTCCTGTACTGGAGAGCTGAATGAGTGAGTGAGTAAAAGTGAAGAATCTGTATCGTGCCAGTTGAGTTCAAGAGATGTCGTCAGCAATGTGGTGATGAGCTAAACTGATACGCTTTGTTAGTGTTCATAGAAAGTTGGATTCATTGAACAGTTTCGGTACACAGATTCCTACATCAGTAGATGTGCAGTGTAAACAAAGAGATAGATTGTTCACACTCACTAGAATAATGAAGTTTTATATGATAAGATATGAAAACCAATCTCTATAACACAATATATAGAATTTATTCTAATTAAAAACAGGATAGGATGCTGATGGGAGTAGAATGGGGAGTTCTGCAAGTGATTTACTGACAATGCTCAAAATAAAGAAGCAAGCAGAGCCAATGATAATAAATTCGTGTAATCTACTAGCAGCACAGGTGCAAATTGTTAAGACATGCTTTCTCCAGTAAAATACCAGTAAGTTGATCACTGCAAACCTTACTAAATCATGCTGTGTGATTCATTTAAATACTCTCCTCCCATAAATTTTGCTCTTGAAAGGGAAACTCCTACAAATGCATATGCAATAAGGTCAGCTGCAAAAATGAATGTCCACGCCTTTTCAGCGCTAATTTTTTTAACGTCAAAAGAGGGTTTGCGCTGGCGCAAGCATCTGGCCCTAAGTTCTTCGACGCCCCTCAACTTGGCTAAAATTTCATTTGAATCAAGCTCAATTGAATTGATTGTGGTGTTTGCATGAAGACTTTTAAATCCTATTTAGCCATCAATCCAATTATAAACATATTATTAGTTTGCATATAAGCAATGAATAACATTAATGAATAACGTATGGTTGTTTTGCTACTGCAAATTACTTTCAGTATTAATATGCAGCACCCATAGAGTCCATGTGTTAACCTTTGCTTGAACATACTGAATTAGCTTCAAAATAAGGCTTAAATGAAGTGTGAACTTGATAATTTTATTATTAACTTGAGGCAGTGCTATATTGTGAACGCAGCCATACATAATATACTTTAGTTGACGCAGTTAGGGTTGCAAAGGGGTGGTGAATTTCTGGAAATTTTTCTAAAGTTTCTGAAAACTTCCAAAAAATCCTGGAAAGTTTCCAGGAATTTACTAGAAATGTTCTGCCTCTTTGCAACCCTAGACACAATATAGCACAGTTTCATAATTTATTGCTTATTGATGCAATTTTTGATGTTGTTCATTTGTTGTTCGCAGTGATTCCCTGCTGTGCTGGTTACTGCAATGAATGGTAACACTGTCCAGCAGACCACGAGCACTGCACCGTTCGTAGCACCTCCTTGTGGATGGAGGGAGTTCTGCGAGTTGCATGCCAGCACCACAGCCCGAGAACTTGCCCAGCACTACCGGCGCTTCGTCAGAGAGCGGCCGGTGCAGGATGTGGTCCCGCCGGAAAGTTTCTCGAAGCAGTTCAGCGCCCTCTTCCAGCACCACTTCAGCAGCGAGGTGGCTAAAGATGCAGAACCTGCCCCACGTCTGCCGCCACCACCACCCTTACTGCCCATGACTGCCCGCTTACGCATCACTTCCTTCTCAGGGGTGCTGGACTACCGGGAGACCGTGCGGCCAGGAGTGACTCCGCTAGTTGCCGTGTTGGCACCCAAACCAGATGCCGCCGGCGTCCCTAGGGAACAGGAGCAGTTGCTGCGCTGCTCTCCTGCAGACACTACACATAGAACGCGGCATCATAGCCAGGAAGATGAACACCCGGAGCGGAGGACCGGGTCTGAACAATATTCTCCCCCTTTGTTTCCCTTTCCTTCCCGTAGTGACATAACCCACTTTTCCGTCAGGGGCATTCGAGAAAGCGTATGCCGATTCTTTAAAAAATCCCTGCAACTTGACGAATCCTCAAGTGGTTTCCCAAGGGAGGATTCGATCAAAGGGGCCGGACCCTCGGCGAGTGTTGAATGCAGCTCTCAAACCCCACCTCAGACTGTGCAGGTACCCGCCCATCGCACCTCGCAGAAGGGTGCGCGGTGGGAACGATGGAATCCGTTGCGAACTGTGAGACGGAGGCAAGAGACAGGAAGTGTTTGTAAAGAGGGGCAGCTGAGGTACCTGGAGGTGGATGACACTATCTCAGACACATCCCCGCATTGGTTGCGCTGCCGCCTGCAGGTCAGGAGGATCAACGAACAAACCACTAGTGAGAGGTACCAGCTGGAGCTCTATGACCCACCTAAGGTAAGGTGAACTTTCGAGATCTTTCAAGAGTGACTTCTACTATTGTTTTTGGCCTGATTTGATCGTTGTATTTCTCAGAGTTGGTAGTACTTGTTGGCTTATAATAGCTTGGTATATTGGTCAGATCTTTTAGTTTAGATTAGCCTATTTTTTGAAGTACGGCTGAAACGATTAGTCAACATTATCGACAACGTCGACAATAAAAAATTGTCGACAAATATTTTTGTTGTGTAGTAGTCGTTTGATCTCATATGACCTAATGTAAGAGTATGCAATAATGCGGTTTGACCAGTGTGGCGCTGTAGTGCAAGACTGTAATTCAGCCCTCCTGGATGCAATTCAAGAGAAGAAGACACAGCGCTTCAGTTCAGAGCAAACGCAGCCGAACCTGAAGCTGCTAAGCTGCGCTTGGATGAATGTGTAAATATATGTTGCGCGCTTTCCTCTCAATAATGAAATAAACACAACAAAAACTGACAGCGGTGAGAAAGCAGCAGTTAAGAACACATCTGATTACAGCGATGTGGATGTTGACATCACGTTTTATAGTACTTTATGCAATAGATTAAATCAAGCAGCTTTACAGTATTAAACATGAAAAGCCATAGTCAGTGTAGCTTTCAGTTAGAATTACAACTTGATTTTCTGTTATAAAGCAGTTCTCCAGTGTGGAGCTAGCTAATGATAAAATCTTTTTATTAGTGGGGGAAAAAATTAATTAAAGCGATTGTTTGGTTTGTAAAGATCAAAGCTTGATCTAGCTCAGGACTGTTTTAATTATCATAACCCTATAAGGTATTTTAAGAGAGATTATGTTGTGAATACAATAGTTTATCCAAAAATAAAACGTCTCATCACTAGGCCTGTCGCGATAATTAAATAACCGTCTAATTGTTTCAGACAACCGCGACTATTGTGCTTTTTATACGGCACAAGGGGGAGTCCTACACCAAAAGAAACCGAAAAGCACCAGTTTGGTTTTCATGCACTGTATAGCCTATATCATCTGAAGCCATTCCATATCTTAATGTGAGGGACATAATTATATTTACATTGTTAAATGTAAGTTTACAGAAATTATGTAATGATGTAAATATAATTCCTTCTGCTGCGATTCTCCGCTCAGCATTCAAACAGCATGTCACGTTCTGTTATGACAGTCAGCACGGTAAAACTCTCTCTTCAAGATGATATATTCCCATTATAGTAATTGATGTGTTGATAAAGGTCTGGGGATTCGCATAAAATGACATCTTGCTGGAGTTCATTGCTCTCTCATTTCTCTTCTCTTTGTTTGTACCATGTGGAGTGCAGTGCACTGTGACTTATGTTGCTTCAAGCACATCATTCTGCACCCTAGATGTGCATAAGCGCTGCGACTCCATGTTGCTTCAAGTGCACCTTTCTGCACTCTAGATGTGCATAAGAGCTTTGTGCCGCTCTGTTTGAAGTGCTTCACATTATCAAAGTTTTGCACACAAAAAGATTATTAGAAGCTTTTATTTTTCTCATGATTTCTATCTTATTTTCATGAATGTATTTTGTAAGAATACAAATAGTTAACAGAATAAACATGTTTAAATTGTATAATGTGCACCAAAGATTTTTTTCAAGATATTGTTTTTGCTGTTAAATTATACAGTCAGCTAGTTTAATTTCATAGCTTGTATATTTTTATTCAAATGTAGTTTTTCTCTGTAATGAGGAAGTGAGTATTTAGTGGATTGTTTAACAAAAGGTTTAAAAAAAGAGTGACCATTAGTTCCACAAACACAGTATTGATATTCTGTAGTGGTGTAAAAAAAAAATAGCGCTGGTGTTGGATCGGTATTGGCCGATTCTTAGAATTTTGAATACTCTATGTAATCTTACACTGCAAAATAATAATTCAAAAAACATTAAACGATAACATCATAATTATTTACTGAACTCTTAAAATAATCACAATTATATTATGAAAGCCATAAAAAACAGACAATTAGCCTAATCGTGATAATCGGCATAATCGCCAAAGCCCTAAAACAGACAATTAATCGCAAAAACTGTGACTATTTTTAGACAATTAATCGTCAGCCAAATTTCATAATCATGACAGCCCTACTCATCACATACTGTACCTTTATTTTGTTTCTTATCCATATGACTTACAGAAGAAGAAATTAGGCAGAATGATGTGTCAGCTTTTCATATACCTAATTAAATGGTGAATGAGAGAGTTTCTCTGTCATCCCATTTTGTGTGCCAAATATATTTATTTGTATAAATTAATTGTATAATAATTGTAATTACATAATATGATTCTCAAAAGCTGAAATGATTACCTTTATTTGCTAGAATATGTATAACTCAATATTTTAACTAATTGCAAAAGCTGAATATTCAAATTATACTGATGAATCAGTGAAATAATCGATGATTAGTTGATTAATCTTTCTAATAATCGTTAGATTAATCGATTATTAAAATAATCGTTTGTTGCAGCCCTATTTTGAAGGAGGTCAACTAGCCTATTTAAAACTTGGCAAAGTAATTCAAATGGAAATTTGGAAAATTCTGTAATCATTTACATTAATATATGGCACATTAGGATGTGTTGCATGAATTTTGACGTCAATGACAAATCACCCAATTAGATTTGTTAATTTTGGTATGGAATCTGGTGTGTCTTGTCTTGAAGCATTATATTTATATACATAAAATGAGATTCAAGAGCTACATTGTTTTAGTTAATAAAAATTTCAATTTCATTCAGATATATTCAAATATGTCTCGTCTATGGAATGATATTCTGGACAATATTCAAAAGTAGGGCTGCACGATAAATCGCATGAGATATTTAACGCGCATCTTGTCAGAAAGCCGGTTCTGTAATCAGTGGTAAATCTCCATCACCTGCGGGCTTTCACATTGAGCAGCATTAACTACACAGAGCCGTTGTTCACCGACGAGCTGTGCAAAAAATCGCGCGAATATGAACGTGGTTTTGCGCACCTTGCCTGTGAACAACGGCTCTGTGTAGTCAATGCTGCTCAATGTGAAAGCCCGCAGGTGATGGAGATTTACCGCTGATTACAGAACCGGCTTTACTCATAAGATGCGTGTTAAATATCGCATGCGATTTATCGTGCAGCCCTATTCAAAAGGAATTGCAAATTGTATTTGCAATTGCATTTTCAATTTGTCGACGCATACATTGTGACATAATGCAAACGCAATTGCAAATCGCACATTTGTATTTCCATTTTCTTTTCCGTGTATGTAACATGTCTGCCGAATTTTAAATGGAAACGCAAAGTCCATTTGCAATTGCATTTCCAATGTCTTACGAGTTGTGACCCTGTCATTTTGGAATAACAATAGAAAATCACTCATTTGCTATTTCACTTTCTCCACGTCCTGCTTCAACCCTCACAAAATTCAAATGGAATTGCAATCTCCTTTGCACTTGTATTTCCAATGCCTGACACAGTCAACTGTCAATCAGTCTTAGCCAAAGAGTATGCCATGCCCACTAGTACTGATGGAAAACCAAGCACTGTTTTGATTTTTATTAATTTCTATGAGGAAAATAGGGACAAATATCCAATAGATTTGTCTATTTTTGCAAAAAAAAAGTCGTAAAACTGTTAGTGTAGTTGATGAGTTCTTCACGTTCTATTAGTTCTACAGCTTCAGTTTCGGAACTTTCACGCTTAGTAACACATACAACACATACAGCACCACAGTGCAACACCACTTTCAAACAGTGTCGCGTTCCGAACGTTGTTTAAGTGACATATACCGGTATTGCGGTATTTTCAAAATTCATATCATAACAAAAATAAACACCGGTATTCGGTATGAACCGGTATACCGCCCAGCACTAGTTTATATCTGGCAATTGTTTATCTCGCAATTCTGAGTTTATATCTTGCAATTCTGTTTATATCTCGCAAGTCTTTTTGTATCTCACAATTCTGAGTTTATATCTCACAATTCTTTTTGTATCTCACAATTCTGTTTATATCGCACAATTCTGTTTATATCTTGCATTTCTGTGTTTATATCTCGCAATTCAGTTTATATCTCACAATTATTTTTGTATCACAATTCTGTGTTTATATCTCACAATTCTGTTTATATCTTGCATTTCTGTGTTTATATCTCGCAATTGTTTATCTCACAATTCTGAGTTTATATCTCACAATGCAGTTTATATCTCACAATGCAGTTTATATCTCACAGTTCTGTTTGTATCTCACAATTCTGTTTGTATCTCACAATTCTGTTTATATCTCACAATTCTGTTTATATCTTGCAATTCT